TCACAGACACACAAACACACACAGAGACGACGGGTGGCTACTTCCAGGTTTGTTGGTGCTGGACTGGCAACCTGCTCTCTTCCCCAAAGAGAGAGAGTGTTGCCAGGTGCAAGTGGGGCAGGAAATGGGCTCTAGGAGAAGGAGAAGATCCAGTCTTCCCCATTGTGACGTGCGCTTTCGCTGTGCTGTGCGAGGCACTTCAAGAGCAATGGGCAGGCAATGGAGGGAGTATTGGCTTTTCCCCACATTAAAGGAAAGCCAGCTAGGCTTCCCCTTCCCTCCTATCCTTCCCCCTTCCCCTTGATCCCTTCCCCCCACTCAATCCTACTTTGGGACAGAGAAGCATGCACTGGGAATCTGTGTGTCTTACCCTTCGCCTACAAATCTCTATGCTCCTCGAGATCCAGCTTGCTGAAGGGGTGAGCAGTCCTGATACCTCTGCATAGTTACTGGCTCCGTCAGGCTCATGGTGGACACCCTCCCCCCATGATTGAGCCATCAGCTTGTTCGAACTCCATAGATTGTTTCAGCTTTCTTACTTTGATCCTAGCTTTTCTGCTGTCTGACCAAGCATCGGGTGCAACCTGAGTCTACCAAGGGATTGAAACCCCCCTCCCAGTTTCCTGAGTGGGACACCACAATCTCCACTTGTGCAGTGAAAGGGGTGATGACTCCACTTACAGTTGCAACTCAAGAGCACTTCTTCCAGCATCGGAAACAGGCTCCTACTGGGCAACATAGGTTCTCCTCAGGACCAAGGCAGGGGCTCCCGGGGTCCTCTGTTCCAGCAAGCATCTATCCTCGCTTCTCCAGGGTTGGCACTCAAGTTCACCATGCCTTTTGTACTCTACCAGATCTAGCTCCACTGTAGTTGCCAGTAGGTATCAGGCATGATGCTCATCTGGAATTCTTTGGGGCAGGCAGTCTTGGTACAGCTCCTACCCAGTCCCTCTTGGAATTGATAGACCAGCAATTGCTCCAGCCTCCCTCTCAACTTCCCTGCCAGGCTTCAGAATCCAGAATTTGGCCACTAGCCTTGTTTCCTGCATGGTGGTCCAGATCTCTGCTTCTGCTCTAAGGGTCTGTGAGGGGTCAGTGACTCTGGCCTGGAGCTTCTCCATAAAGGTGTCAACATTCCCCAACTCCAGAGCTCCTTCATCATGGAGGAACACCACCCAGTCCACCACTTCCCTCTCCAGATTCTCAGAAATGGCATTTATGCATGCAATGTCATCCGGATAATTGGTCCCATACTAGTCCAACAGCTCTACGCTTGGTTTAGGAAGTAAGCTAACTTCTCTGGCTACCCGTCAAATGTCGCTGTCAAGGGAGGGGGCTCTTGGTTGTCCCAGATCAGCATGTAGCCCAGTAGCCCTTCCAGTGCCTGTGGGATCACTTCCTCCTCCTGTCCCACAGCACCCTGAATTACTTCAGGTTGTCTCAGGGCCGCCTGGGGAGTATGGTTGTCCTTTGGGGACTTATAGTTGCTTGAGTCATCCAGCCCAGCATTCCATGGTGCTTTGATTCCATTCCACGCATCTCCATTCCAATGAACTTCTCAGTTGTTACACTGAAGTACTATGGCACACCGTCAGGTATTTCCAGTCCATCAGTTCCTCCCACTCCATGGCCCTCTTGGCCTTCCACTTCGGTCCCCGAGTCACAGTCACCCTAATAGGATCAGCTCTATAGCTTTTCCCACTGTGCCCTGTCTTGGTTCCTTCAGTTCAAGAAGGGGGGCTCCGGCTGCAGCTCTTTCTTGCACCGGTGGCTGCTCCATTTTTTCTGCTCACCTCTTGGATTGAGTCACGACCACTTGGGTTCCAGAGTCCACTAGAGTTCCCACTGGCACTTCTTTTGAAAGGACCATTCCAGCCTTTGCTGTGCCTCAGCTTTTTACTCTGCACCAGACATCATCTTCTTTTCTCCCCTCCCAGCACTCTTGAAGGTGACTGAGTAGGCTGCGCTGAGGTTGATAGTGTTGGTTTAATATCAAACTTCCAACTAGCAACCCCCAAAAAGTAGGCAGTCTCAAGAATTTTGAAATCCTAAAAGCAAAACCTTCTCCTCACCCTTGGTTAGTCATATTATCCAATTATGAATCATTATCTTGTTTTGAGAACTATTCATTTTTCTGTCAGACACCTGCGTCAGTGGCCTTAGTGGGTTCTTGACTCTCATGGCCTGTCTCTGGCGTGTCTTTATTCTTTCTGCCTTTATCTCCTTCCAGTTCTTTGGCAAGTTTGAATAGCAAAAAGGCATTTCAAAAATGGTTCAACTTTGACACCAGTGACGTGCGGTGAGGTTTATGGCTGGTGAGGCAATCCTCTCCCCCAACACCCCACTGTCTAAAGCACTTTCTTTCACCCGCCTGAGCTCTGACAGGTGAGCGAAAGAAAGAAAATGCTTTAGATAATGGGATGCTGGGGGAGATGAGAGAATGCCTGAGCATTCTCTCCTCTACCCCAACACCCCACTGTCTAAAATGCTTTCTTTCTTTCGCCTGCCTGTCAGAGCTCAGGTGGGTGAAAGAAAGAAAGCGGCAGCCCGCCAGGTCAGGCAGGAGACCTGGCGGGCTGCTGCTTTCTTTTGCCCAGCTGCCACTTTCTTTTGCCCGGCTGCCACTTTCTTTTGCCCCCCTCTGTGTCCGCGGCTGCCGCAGACACAGAGGCGGGCAAAAGAAAGCGGCAGCCAGGCAAAAGAAAGCGGCAGCCAGGCAAAAGAAAATGGCAGCCCGCCAGTAGAGGCGGGCCAAAGACCCGTCTCTGTGGTGGGCTGCCACAGACACAGAGAAAGAAACCTGGCGGGCTGCCCTCCCTGCCTCTCCTACCCCCTTCCCTCTCTTCACTGAAACAAACTCTCTCAAATTGAGAGAGAGTTTGTTTGAGTGAAGAAACACACACACACACACACACACACACAGACACACAAAGTTGCACCAGGAGGATTAATTTTGAATTCCTCCCCCTCCCTCCGACCCACATACCTTTTCCAACTGTTTCACAGAGGATTTCAACTCTCCTCTTGCCTGCCATCATGAAAATGTAAAAGGAAAAAGGCAAGAGCTGCTGAGGTCAGGCTGGGCTAGTTGCTGCCAGAGTCCCCATGGTTGACTCTGCATAACTCTTAAAAAAATGCGTTCTACAGGAGGAAGCAGGAGAACCATGTGCTTCATCTACATAAGGAATTTTTCGGCTTTTAACCCTTGCTTAACTCTGCTCGAGTGATCATAAAGTCAGACTAGATGAGGCATGTGGTTCTCCTGCCTCCTCCTGTAGAGGGCACTTTTTTAGAGGCTTTTTTAAACAGTTAAGCACTAAGCAGAGTCATCCACTGTGACTCTGGCAGCAACTAGCTCAGCCTTTTTCCTTTTACATTTTTTTTTTTCTTTTCATGATGACAGTGGTGAGGCTCTGCCTCCCCTGCCTCCCCTGACTGCATGTCACTGCTTGACACGCATGACACATCATAGAAGAACAAATCCATCAGGACAACATCCAGCAATCCATCTGCATTTAAAAGACAAATGCCACTCTTTGGAAGACTGCAGAGTCCACTAGTTTGAAAGAGGTGTCAAAAAGGCCAATTTTTGACAAAAATTTCCAAATTAAACGGCCTTCTTAACAGAAGGGGAGGGATATGACATCATCTATCTAATATACAGTCCACAGTTGTTTCAAGAAGGCTCCACACCCATTTCCACTAATCAGGTGACCCTGAGGAAATAGATAAACCTTCAAGTGGCCTCAATGACTCTCTTAAATAGAAGTGTCAAACTGGCAGCCCTTAGGCCAGATGCGTCACATACAGGCCACATCCATCCTGGCTCCGCGAAGGCAAAAAATGTCATGATACATCATGTGATGCAATTGAATTTGAAACCTGTGCTCTAAAAAGAATTCAAATGACCAGCTGTCTGCAAGGAATATAAATCCTTCCATTCGCTACCAACCAGTCAGAGCTGAAGAAGCTTCTTGGATGAGAAGCGAAATGTCTTCAGCGAAAAACGAAGTCCAGTTGCCTCTTGGAAAAGCAGCTTTGGGATAACTATGATGTGATTATTTAACCAAGCTTTTTGTACTTATTGCTGTTAGTTTGCTTATTGTTAGTTCTCAACTTACAACCATTCATTTAATGAGCATTCAGAGTTTTAACAACACTGAAAAAAATGATATGACTGTTCTTCACACTTAGGACCATTGCTGCATCTCTATGATCACATGATCGAAATTCAGATGCCTGGCAGCTGTCATCTATTTATAATGGTTGCAGTGTGCCAGGATCAGGTTATTTATCTTTTATAATTTCTGACAAGGGAAGTCAATGGGAATACCAGATTCACTTAATAACCATGTTATTAATTTAACAACCACAGCTGTTCAAGTAAAGCTGTGGCAAGAATGGTTGTAAAATGAGGCAAAATTCATTTAACAGCTGTCTTATATAGCAACAGAAATTTGGGATTTGATTCAAGTGTGATTGTAAGTCAAGGACTACCTGTATTATTTTGGCCTATGAAAAAATATTTGTTTTTCAGTTTCACACTAATTACATTATTGTATTCAATAAGTTGACCTCTTGTGAATGATTGAAATTTATTTGACCTTTATACAATATTTCTAGATATTTTTCATTTTATTAAAAACATTGTGTTCATTTTGTGATGGCTCTGTTCCTATATTATCTATTTTATTCCTTATAGCTATGGATGCTTTCCTTTGTGTTGCTTCATTCACATTTAAGCATAAACATTTCATAGGTGATATTAGTGGAATTGGTAGCAGTAATTATGCAAATTACTAAAATGATGTATGGACCCAATATTCCATTTTTCTGGGTGCAAAAACATACTATCTTGTGAAAGATGATTTTCATTAAAAACTCAAGTTATTCTAATTGCTAAAAAACTGCCCTGTAACTAGGATAATTTGATTGGTGTGAATCCTTTTTTGTTGAACCTCATTTAAAATCTTGGCTATGATAACTTTTATTGCTTCCAGGCACTACCAAGGAAGGAGGAGCTGGTGCTGTTGATGAAGATGATTTCATAAAGGCATTTACAGATGTTCCTACTGTACAGGTAAGATGCTGTACAGTATTTTACCAACCTCGGAAGGATGGAAGGCTGAGTCAACTTTGAACCAGTCAGGTTCAAACTCCAGGCTCCGAACAGAATTAGCCTACAATACTGTATATTAACCACCATGGCTCCTGTATGACTCCATAATTGTGGTATCACCAAAAGCTGATTCTGTTTGCAAACATTTGGAGAATTTATAGATTGGCCATAGCTAAATCGCAGTTTCCTTAACCACAGTACATTCATTCAGGATACAATGACATATTAAGCTATTAAGCATACCAAATCTGGTGACTGTTTTCGACGGTATGGGCTTAGCACCAGAACAAATATTCTATACCATAAACAAACATTGTATACCATAAATACAATATCAACAAAGTGTATTTATCACACAAAGTATCTACAGCACAAAAAAGTGAGTTAGATTACAAATTTATTCAACACTATCATTTATTTTAGTGCAACTCCTGGGAGAATATAAACAATCATTCATTGTAGGGTTTACTGTTTTAATCTTTCTGAATCCTGCATCCCAGTTATATCCAAATTTGCAGTTCATTGCCAAAAGAAACATTTGAACCATGAAGTTTAAGACCCAGAAATAAAACAAACTCACAATATACATCATAGGGTTCTTACAAACAGTTCTCACTCTATTATTTTCATTACCATAATATTCCTAAAAAAAACAAAAAACCCTGCTTTGATGGTCCTTGTCTTACAACAGTTCATTTAGTGACCATTTGAAGTTACAACAGTACTGAAAAAAGTGATTTACAACCATTTTTCATACTTATGACCATTGCAGCGTAGCCATGGTCACATAATCAAAATTCAGAGATTTTCAATTGATTCATATTTTGTTGCAGTTTCCTAGGTTCATGTGATCACCTTTTGTGATCGTCTGACAAGCAAAGTCAATGGAGAAAACCAGATTCACATAACAGCTGTGTTGCTAACTTGACTGCAGTGATTCACTGAACAACTGTTGCAAGAAAGGTTGTAAAATGGGGAAAATTCATTTAATAAATGCCTTGCTTAGCAACAGAAATTTTGGGCTCAATTCTCATAAGTCAAGGATTAACTGTATAAAGGGAAGTGAAGCATATTATGTTTGTATTTTTACATAAGTATTTGAAGTTTTCACTCTCCAAAAATGTTGAGCTACAAAGTTGATAGACTATTCTTGCACCTTTCACAATTTCTTAGTCTGAGAAAGAAGTAAAGATTGTTTTATTTGCTTTGTTGCTGAAAAGCTTGAAACAGTTCTGCAGAACAGGACTAAGCCCAAACATTTTCTACCATTCTTTTGAATTTAAAATTTAAAACTGGAGTCAGGGGTGTGACTTTTTTTTACTTTAAATTTAAAAGTGGGACTAGGAATACTCACTTGTTTGACCTCATGGAGAAGGGACAAGTGTCCAAAAAAGTGTACTTTGACTCAAAAGCCAAGCAGAAATAATGACTCCCTGTCATTTATGAGAAACAGAATAATACTTGTCTAAAATCAGAACTTAAAGCTCATCAGATTTTGAGATTTAAAACTAGCAGTGAAATTGGCACAAGAAGAAATGCCATTTCCAGGCCAGAGACACTTAAATAGGGCTAAAAACTTTGGACTAATTCTGGCTATACAGTGCAGTCAGTATAGAGAAGCTCCAAATATTTCCAGCGATCTAGTAGGTGAGGAAGAACAATAGAGAAAAGGCTTCACTTCAGCTCTGAAAATCTAGTTAAATGCATAAGATTAGAAGTATATCCTCATTGTGGCTGAGTAACAAGTAATTTACAAGGTTGAGAGAAGTCTTTGTTCCTTCATAACTGAGCAGTGAGACTGCACATTCAGAAGCCCCCTGTTTAGGATGGGAGGGTAGGGATTCATCCAATTCATCAACACTGGATGATGAACTGTTCATATTAGTACTCAAATTTCCTCTGGAATGTATTAGGCCATAGATTTTTTTCCTAGGTTTGAGCTTCCAGGTCTTTTTCCTTACACCAAAATTTAATGATTATTATATAATTTAGAGAAATTGAGACAGTAATATAATTTCTGTATTATAGTTTCAAAACAACAGGTTTATTTTATCTATTACATGGTAAACACAAAAATGATTATATAATGTTTAAATAACTTTCCAAAAATCACATTTTTATAGTATGTAATAATTTAAAAATTACTTAAGAATTTATTTTCGTATGTTAATATATGCTCTTGTGGTATTAGGTTGCCCTCTCTTGGCTGCTGCAAGATAATCAAGTTGGCTTTTATACTAATATAAAAAGTTACAAAGTCAACATTTTTATGATAATTGTGATTGTTGACTTTTTATGTTAAGTAATTCTGTATCCCAGAATATTTTGTGCATTTCACATTTTTATGTGCTACTTCCAATTTTCTTGAAACAGAATTACTATCTTTCCATCATTTCATTTGTATGTTTATTGTTGAAAAATGATATAATCTTGTTCAACATTTACACTGTTTCCTTATGATTTAGTTCTACATTATAAAAAATATGAATCACCTAGCTATATTTTCTTATCAATATCCATCTATTTTTCTTAAAATACCTGTGCTGTACCAAAAAACCAGATTCATTTCCAATTGCTTTCTCTTAGTTACGACATTGGATTTTACATTAATTGATTCATAGCTAAGAAAGGATTATCAAAACTATTAGCAAATAATTAAGCTTTGCTAATCATTGTCCTGTTCTTCATACTAAGAGATTTCATGAAAATGTAAGAATGTCACATTGGCCAACTAACAAGTCATCATGCAAAATAAAAGTCACAACTGCAGCACCAGCTATAGAAGACAGTCTTACCTAGCTGCTTAGTTGTTTTCTATTATTTATGGGACAAAATATGGATTTGACGAAGTTTCCTTTTCAGATTTATTCTAGTCGTGAACTTGAAGAAACACTAAATAAAATCAGGGAAATCTTGTCAGATGATAAACATGATTGGGATCAGCGCACTAATGCGGTATATCTATTTTTAAATTTTTACTTATTTTAAAATGTGATTATATAATTCATTATAGCGTATTTGCATTTAGAAAAGTTAATATTCTTATTTGCTCTTTCACTACTCCAGCTTAAGAAGGTCAGGTCATTACTTGTTGCTGGAGCTGCGCAATATGATGGCTTTTTCCAGCATTTACGACTGTTGGATGGAGCATTTAAATTATCTGCTAAAGATCTCAGATCACAGGTGGTTAGAGAAGCATGCATCACAGTAGCGTAAGTATAGATCAAGAAAACAAAGTGTCTTGCTGAATGTAACTGAATATTGAGAGTCCTGTTGGAAATATACCAGATATGCCTTGGTTTTTTTTAAAATTTCTATACAGGTAGTCCTTTATTTATGACTATGACAAAGCTTAATAATGCTTTGAATTAACAACAGGATTCCAAAGCCCTATAAAGCACTTCTGACCATTGCAAAACATACCACTACCAAATTGTAGGGACATAATTGTGATCTGGGTGCTTGGCACCCTATTCACACTTATAACTGTTTTCCATCAATCATGGGATCACCACTTGGCAATGTTCTCTGCGGCTCCCTGAAAGTCAAATCCATGCAGGATTTTTGGTCCCTGAGCAAAGAAGTATCTCATGCTTCAGGAAAATGGGGGAAGCCTGGTTCAGGCCATGTGCAAGCTCAGGCTGAAAATCTTGCTTGGATTTTCAGTGGACAAGTAGTGCGATAAGGAAAGGATCATGGGCTGCCTCAGAGTAGGGAAGACCTTGCCAGGTAGGTGCAAGCTGTGTGTGTCTTCCCACTTGGGTTGAAAATCCTGTTTGGATTTTGGCAGGGAAGATTTTCAGCTACTAAACAGAGAGACATTTGCATGCAGCCTGTACCACTACTCTCAGAGACTTCCCCATCCACCTGAGGCACTAGGACTTCATCTATTTAACCAATCCCTGTGATCTCATAACCACAATCAGGAGTGCCAGGATTTCAGTTTTTAAGCGATGTCATCACATGATATCTCACTTAATAACAACTACTCTCACTGATTGAGTATTGTGGTGATAAGTCGAGAACTACCTGTATAAATAATATAATTAACAAAATACTTGCATAAACCATCTGTTTTCTAACACAGCTCAAAGTTAAGATTAAGATTAAGATTA